TTACAAGATCCCGAGTTTCATATCTCAATGGAGGTGGTGGTTCTAGGAAGACAACACGCGTAATTTGAATCTTTAAAGATATAAATATGGTAGTCTTTACTCATACGAATGCATTGGCTAAAGACTTCCAGAATGATCGTAAGGTAAAAGCCTAAACTTGGCATAGCTTCTTTAGGTGGAATGGTGTAGAAGAGTAGACTCCCAAACACATGGGAGAAAAGAAATTTCCACGAGTTGTCATCTGGGATGAAGTATGTACAGTGCCTAAACATATTCTAAAGAAGTTCATCAACTACTTACTAGAGTAAAAATGCCAAGTAATTTGCTGTAAAGACAATACTCAGCCTCTACTATTCTTCGGAGAAATACCTTATGACTGGTTAAAAGAGCGAGCTGATTATTATGAGGAAGTCTTGACTGATTATCAAGCTAAATGCTTTAGATTACAAGAGCTTAAGAAAAAAATGCAACGGAAAAATAATAGAGTGCAGTCACACCTATTTCGTAAAGCACTTCCAGTCAGTGAAAAATGAGAATATCTTGAAGCTGAATGGAAGCCATCAGATCGTATCTTATCAGCATATTTACTTTCCTGAAGAATTGCTTCCCAAAAATGCTTAGAACTTCATTGGACAAAATATCTCAATGTGCTGATCCCATTAATCTATAGGCCAAGAGATAGACGCAAACAAAATTATCTTGTTCTGATTTCTGGCTCATCTGAAAAAAAGGAGTTAGTAAAAAATGATATAATAAACTTATCCTTAGATATGCTTTCTGACGAATTCTTAAAAGATATGTTGGCAGATAAAAAGGTCATAGATTGAGAACTTGGATATGCTATGACTATTCACATTAGTCAAGGAATGACCCTTAAGGCTCCACAGCGTGTTTGGGTCATTGATGAAAACCTAGCCTGGGATAACCTAATATATTTAGCAGTTGGTCGTATAGAATATTTAAGCTAACTCATTCGGGTTGAAGTGCCTCCATTACCTCCTGAAATTGCCTAAGAGATTGAGGAGGCAAAAAAAAAAAGATGGCTAGAGCACGAATTGAGACCATCTATTCAGAAAAAACTTATCAGATATATGGGCTAGGACAAGGAAAAAGGCTGTGAATTTGATCTAATAGTTGACTATATCCTCATATTAAAACATATTCAAGAAGACAAATGCGCATTATGTCTCATTGAAATGAAATTTGAATGGGATTGGTCAGGAGATATATCCCAGTGGACAGTAGATCGAATTCATAATAATTTGGGCATATCAAAGGGAATGTACGCCTCACTTGTCTTCTTTGCAACCGAAATCACAGAGTCTAGTTCATGCTGGTGATCCAGATTAGTGATATGATGCATATATGCAATTCGGAGGAGGCAAATCACAGTATGTACATAATTATAAGATTTTTTTTTCTAGTATAATAAATATTCAGTTATTTGTAAAAGATGCCAATCAGATTAATTGAATTAGATAGACCCTTCTGAAGGTAAACATAGTTCACATGAGAAATATGGCTAAAAAATCGAGAAATAATCGATGCAAGACTACAGGTAAGTTTACTATTAACTCCACGCAGTTTATGCAACTATGTAATCTAAGTAAATATGCGTATACATATGATTAGGTAACTGGTTTTATCACTGTTAAAAATATAAAACAAAACAGGGTTGTAGGCATGTTTGATTATCCCAAGCTATGTGAATATCTGGAGTCAGGTGCTCATCATTAATATTATTTTTTTTTGATTAAAGACTCCCTCGAATAAATTCTTTGGGATGGAAAGCATTCACCTTGCAGATCAATAGATCAAAGGGGCGGGGTTGCGCCTGAATTTTGACAAGAAGCTTATATAATTGGTCTTAAATTGACATTGGATAGATTGACACAAGATGTAGAGTTTGCGCAAAAAGATAATGAGCCAGTCAATCTGAAGCAGTGATCACTAGCTCGGAAGATTTTGCTGGATCATGCACTGTGCCTTCAGTGAATCATCAGTCAGGTCTTGTGTAATATATTATTTTTTTGCATGTAATGAAAAGAAAAAATATATGCTAACCAGTATCTCTATTTTTTACCTGAACAAACATGAGAAAAATGTGAAAGGAGGTCTACATGCAACACAGGACCTTCCCTACAAGTAAATAGTACTGGTAAAAGCATATATTATAAAAGGCTGAGGGACTTGCAATTCCGAGATTGCCAGACGTAAAACCAACTATATGTCTTTTTAGTAGATCTCTATGTGAAAAAGGTATGAAATTCCATTTGCATGTGCTTTCATAGAGCTCTTGGCATCAGACGACAATGCTAATAATGTCTTATACCTCTTTAACTTTTTTCCAGCAAGATATAAAGCATGTAATGATATGTGGAAGTTCAGCCAACTTTCTGCAAAAAACATTCCCATAAAAAATAATACAAAATAAGATATGTACAGTATATATTCTTTAATGCGAGTGGACCAAACAATTTTCTCACTATAGATCTTGTATTTAAAAAAACAAAATGGCCGAAATCACTCTCAATTGTCTTATCATTTCTATAGAAAAACTTATGAATATCCTTTGCGTTAAAGTAATGCAGGCGATTACAATTGAAAAAGATGAATATTATAGCATTCTCGAGGCTACAATTTAAAGCAGATTGGGGCACCATTTAATAAAATCCCTCTCAATTGCATTACGCGTTGATCCTGATGCTGATAAAAATAATCAAATTTTTAATTTGAAATCATTAACAAACTTATTTCGCATTCCAGCCATAATATAACATAAGCTCACAATTGTTTTTCTTGCTTTAACTTTATTATATGCAGATCTGTTATCAGAAACTAATGCCTTTACTAATTTATCAAAAAGGCCTTGTAAACGCGGATTTGCTGCTTCAATCATTTGTTTAAAATGTGTAGGATTAAGTTCTAAATTACCATGCTGCTTATATAAAACCTTTATAAGCATAGTAATCTGCTCGGCAAATGAATAACTTTTTAATTCTATATATATAAAAAATTATAATATAGTTAGTTATAAAAACAATAAAATTGGAGCTGTATTCTCGATTTAAGCCCGATTATTATGTAGATCATTATAAAAAGGTTTAGATGATCAAATGCAACTTTGATTTTATTACTTTTGCGGCTAACTAATTATAATTTTATATTTACAATGTGTTATATTTTCATCAACTTCTAAAAAAAGAGGAATTTCTGACTTATGCTTCTGATAAGATTCAACAATGCTCATATAATGATTATGACACAATTGTTATCCGATTCTTAAATATGTATATGCTTCGTAAGTTCCTTTTTTTGAGCTTTTTCATATGCTAATGAAGTAAATTGTTGAAAACGGAATGTTTGGTTATTACAATTATATACTGAACATGGGCCATGGTTTTTTTGAACCATAATGAGATAGTTAATTAATTTGAAGCAAAAATACAAAAAAAATAATTGTAAAAATGTAATTGTGTAGTATTATCGCATATTATTTATTTAGCCAATCATAATACTATTACACACATTGATTATTAACTAATAAAAACAAACTTTCTCTATGCTGGAAAAGTACTGGGCATTAATATAGGTTTTTATATTGCACAGGCATTACATCATTACACGTGACCCATTTTTCATGTACCAATAAAATAATAATACTTTATTTATGAAATAAAAGAAATAAAAAAACGTTACCAGAAGCCAGTCTAAAATACATAAAAATTGCAACTATAGCACTATATGATACAGAAGATTATTCTGATCAGAGGTATACAGTGATATAGAAGTGCTCTGCTTTAGGCTTCTCAGTAGAAGTAAAAATTTCATCAAACATATCATACCCATCTACAGTCAACTCTTGATATAGCGAACTCTTGATATAACGAATTTTTTGAACAAATATAATAAAAATACTCTTGTTATAGCGAATTGGCCAATCAAATCTCTTAAAATCTTCACTATAGCCTTATAGTGAAGTTGAGATCTAAGACATAGAATTCGTTATAACAAGAGTTGACTGTATAGCTAGCACATAATTATTTTAATTAATCTAATATATTCTTTTAATTATCAGATTGCAGAGATAAAATTTTTTGATTGTCTAATCTATTAAATATTAGTTAGATAAAAAAGGTATTAAAATTCATTTCGTTTTATATCTAAATATTTCTTCTTTACTCATAATATCAAAAAAATCTTTTATTAGAGCTACATCAAAACTTATGTTAGAAATTATAATAATATGCCTAAGCTTCTATCATTTTAGTATTATTCCTTCGTTGAAGAAGCTTGATGTTATATCTATTTCTTATGTTACTTATATGAATTCAGATGATAATTGATTTGCCAATTTAGTCATACCTATTTCAGCATTTTTTTGTATCATCAGTGTGGATTCAGATAATGTTTTGATATGCTAATTTTATTAATTTATTATTTATTAATTTAAGATTGTATCATATCAATGTAATAAAATTAGCTCTAGGAAGAGAAAACCTTATGATAATTTTTCCTTTAATCCAAAAAAAATACCAGTCATCTATCAAATCAGTTAACATAACCAACACTAGATATTTTGATTTTAAATCTGCAATAATTAGTTTTGCTATAGTTTGAAATGTATATTTCTTATTGATAGCATTCTTTATCTTAAAGATGATTCAGATATGTTTCTTTTGTGCTTGAGAAGTGATAGAATGTCTATCTACTATAACCAAGTTTATTATTTTGAAAAGTCTTATTGGTAAGATATCAGTATTTATATTAAAAAAACTATTATCATCAGATGGATTATAGAACCTGAGTTTTTAAAATAAGACAAGTTTAAGTATATTCGTGAGATAAGGCTTATACCTATCATTTTGTGATTTTTCTATAACATCTGTCCATCTGAAAGTATCAATTCTCTCATTTTTTAAATATAAATTGAGATTTAAAAACTTCATTTTAGGTGTTGTCGCTTGGTAATCAAAATCAGTATAGTCTTGAATTTTCATTCAAATTCCTTTAATTACAACTGATATTTGTTCTGAAGATTTTTTTTTCTTCATATCTTCAATATTCTTATCAATATCTTCAACATTCTTAACAATCTTGTCAAGTCTAGTAATAATTTTATTGTCTCTTATAGCTGAGAAGTAAATGATTAAAAAAAAAATATTAATTATAGTTACTATTTGATTTATTGCAAATTTATTCTTCAACTTGACACTTAACTACTTACCAGCAGTAGTAAGAATATCAGGTACAATAACAATAAGGTGAATATGATTAGCAGTAGGTAATGCTATAAATATTATTTTACATTTTTATAGGAATCAACACTTGTCTACCTAAATCATTCATAATATTGACATTTTGATTGCTAAGAGCAGTTTATTAGGTGTTTTGCGTGTTAAGATTGATATTAATTTATATAAAATGAGGTTCTTTACATTTATATTAAGAATTCTAATTTTTTGTTCTATAATTTCTCTAATCTCACCTATAGTATAATTATTATTATATCTAACTGAAAAAGTGAAAGTTTTAGGTTTACTGAGAACTAGACAGTAAAGTAATACTTTTTTGGGTGGCATGATGATATTTAAGAATTTTTTTTTATAAAAGAAGCTTATGAAATTATGAGATTATGAGAATACCAGTCGTGAAAATCTTGATTTATACATATCATGTGATAAATAGTATATAATTAATATTCTCTAAAAGTTATTTCTTTTTCTAAAGTCAATAATATTCAATGATATCTGATATTTCAGAGAGTTTTATATAAAGCATTTTCTTTAATTAAAGCAATAGATCAATAAACCTTTATAAATTTAAACTTAATTTTAAAACATTAAAATTTCTTTTAAGATCTTTATTAATTCATGATACGTGAGTTAACTGCATAAAATTCATAGTTAATTTTGATGTAAATTTTTATTAATCACTAATATATTTTTTATTATATCAAGCGTCAGTTCTTTTTCAACCAAAAGTTTCAAAAATGTAGGCTAACCCAGTTTGAAATCAGAAAAATATATTAAAATTGAGAATGATATAGAAATTAGATATTAGATAAAATGCTTATTGCATCAATTAATATCATATTAACCTGTTTTTATTAGAAAAACTGTCTGTATTCCAATATCTATACTATAAATAAAAGCCTTTTGATTTTTGTTTATTCATAAACAATTAAATTATTGTGCAAATATTGCTCAATATAATCACTTTTTTCTGTAATTTCTTTTGATAAAATAGGATTGTGCTTTATTTTAAGTAATTGATCAAAAGCTCTTTTAACTAGACTTAGTGGTATTTTATCTATAATAGGCTTATAATTAGGATCAAAAGTAAGTATTTCTGTATATAAATTAATGATCTCTTTAATATCTGCCATTTAGTACTAAATTTATTAAGTATTTATGCATGAAAATCCAGAATACTAAAAATAATGATTATGAAGTAGTATAAATAAAATATATTTATCAGATAACACTTACATATAATAGTAACTAAAGGTAACTATATATACATAGTTGCCTGATATAAGCGAACTTTATTGATATATATTTTTGAAGTATTATTTTTTCATTATAATATAATAGTTATTGCTGATCACAAGTGTATTAAACTTAAAATATATATAATATACATTATAGATCTCATTTCAGAAAAATAAAAATGTGCAATTAATAATATAATTAGATGAAGCAAAACTTAAAAAAAATTCATATTTCTTATGTGTAGTAGTTTGATTATTATAAGACTTATTTTGTATAACAATATTTGAGACACATGATAATCTATTGATTAAACACGTTAATTTAAGTATGTGTCTTAAATGCATATTCTATTTGAAAATGCTTCATAAATCTGTAATTATTAGTAAAAGTTTCCATACATTTAGGATAAGAAAATCTAGTATCATTATCTAATGATAATGAATCTAAATCTTGCTGTAATCATTTATGAAATAAATAAGTGATAATATCTAAAATAAAATCATTAATGATAAATCATCACAATATATCTGTGAAATAGTTTTTCAATTATCTTAATATTCAATTTGAAGCCTAGAAGAATTTCTCAACCACTAACTCTGATATTTATATTTCTTCATCCATATTCATAATAACATACAGTATTATTTTCATACCATCTTCATGAATGGACATTTCCTGTAGTTAGCCGTTATTATCTTGACAGATACTAATCAAAATTCTAATTCCACAGATATTTTTAATGCAAAGAGTTCATTTCTAAATCTATTATCAAATACTTGGAGTTCTGAATCACTTTCAATAAAACTAATCTCAATAACAAATATTGAAGTGAAGGGTTTACCTTAAAAGATTCAATTTTGTAATACGTCTAAACTGTGATCTGTTTATTTTAGAGTGAAAGAAATATCAGGTACTCAAATTATTCTCTGTCCCTTATATTAAAATTAAAGTCATCTTATGAAGAGGTAACGCCTCTATTTTGATGTATTTTGATTAAAGATGATCACCGTAATTAAAAAAAATAACGCAATTGAGTTGTAACTTGTGGCGCAATTAAATTTCCTTATGGTACAATTAAGTTGCAACTCAATTGAAATTTGAAAATAATTATGGGGGCCATCTTTAGTTTTGATATTCCAGTTACAAATCTGAGCCATAATTTTTGAGACAACCTTTTCTCTAGCATACAAAGTTTGAGATATCGGGATTAATTTTCCATTTTCATATTCAAAGAGGTTAATTAATTTTCTGTTAAGTTATATAATACAAGTTTTAAATTAGTCATTTATGTACTCGAACTCTTTGAAGGTATAAACCTTTTTAAGATCTAGATTTTCAAGTTCTATTTTCTCGTAATAAACTTTAGACATATTTATCATGATTATTGGAATAGAGTATGAAAATTTTTAATATGAAAATATAAGTAATCCCTTTATATTTAATGTATGATGTAATAAGTATAGCAGATATAATTTTTGTAATTTAATTAAAGAATAAGAATCATGTTTAAAAGGATTTTTTAAAGCATTTGAAAATGTATTAAATCCTAAAACAAAATTACAAAAAATATGTGAAAATAAAAAAAAAGGCTATTGTTAGATTCTGTTATCTTTTAGCTGGATTGGGCAAAAGTTTGTTAATAATTTAAAACTTGAAATTGGATTTTATTTAGTTGCATGCAAAACTTCAAGAGAAAGTATTGAAATATTATCAGTAATGGATCTTAATGTATGCACTAAAACAGTAGATCAATATAGAAAAAAATAGTTATTAATCATTCTAAAGAAGTTAATGAGTATTTTACTATTTATGTAAGAATATTTAATATTCTAATAAAAAATTTAATTTAATAAAAAACAAATTTTAAATTTATTAATAAAATTATATAAAAATTATAAAAAAAAGATTTTTTTTATATAATTAAATTAAATACTAATCAAATAATTTTATTTTATATAATAATATATAGGATAATTATCTTTATATTGTTAACGTGCAATTTTGGTAGATCGCTACAGTTAAATGAGGTATTCGAGTATTGTTTCTTTTTAATGTACGCAGTAATCTACTGATTTATTTCCTAAGTCCTAGACTTATAACCGGTATCACTCAGATATATTAACGCTATATACAGTCAGACCTGTTTATAATCACCACTTTTGGTTTTCAAAAATTATGTGATTATAAATAGGGGTGATTATATATAGTAAACTATATATAAT